ACTCCAGACCCTTCACAAAATGAAACAACTGGAGTTACAGCAGTGACAACTACAATCTTTCCACAAAATGATACAACTGGATCGACAGAACAGACAACTCCAGACCCTTCACAAAATGAAACAACTGGAGTTACAGCACTGACAACTACAATCTCTCCAGCAAATGATACAACTGGATTAACAGAACTCACAACTCCAGTCCCTCCACAAAATGAAACAACTGGAGTTACAGCACTGACAACTACAATCTCTCTAGCAAATGATACAACTGGATTAACAGAACTCACAACTACAATCCCTCCACAAAATGAAACAACTGCAGTTACAGCACTGACACCTACAATCTTTCCACAAAATGATACAACTGGATTAACAGAAATCACATCTACAATCCCTCCAGCAAATGATACAACTGGATTAACAGAACTCACAACTCCAGTCCCTCCACAAAATGAAACAACTGGAGTTACAGCACTGAAAACTACAGTCCCTCCAGAAAACGAAACAGTTGCTTTTACAGGATCAACATCTAATTCCATTTTTACTACCACATTTCCATCACCACCTTGCAGTAAGTAAATATTTGATATTGAATTGTAGAATAAAAATTATCCAATCAGATATAATGTTCTTGTTCATCAGTTATATCAGCTGCGAGGTAAAATCCCAGGATATGACTTCAGAAAGGGAAGCCTCATAGAACCACTGAAAATACATAATTATATATATATCAGTCAAGTTTCTACTCCTTGGTAAAGCTCTCCTGAGCCCCTGGGTGCCTGCCTACAGGAATAAACCACTGTCAAAGGTGGTTTTTCTCAATCTTATCCTGAAGCACCTTTATTAAATGCCTCCCTACTGCTCTGAATTTAGGATTTTCTGGTGGCATTTTAGTATTCCATCACCTGCTGATATCAGTATGAGTCAAATAGCAGTCCACATCAGAACACTCATATTTTTCCCATCCAGCCTCATCACTTCTTCACAATCTTAAACCAACACTGTATGATTCTGACCACTTACCACACCTTACCTGCAGTTAGAAAGACTAGAAGCAAGTGGAATGTTACCCATTTGTGTTTTGGAGCCACCAAACAAAGTATATTAACGTATGATTTACATTTATAGAGCAAAGAGTTTATTTCTGCTCTTGTGGGAGAGCAAGGCGAAAAAGTTAAATCAGCTCCAAGAAAACTCACAAAAATTTATATTGGTGTAATTGTTTATTTTTTTCTTTAATATTAAATGTGTAGAAGTGTAGAAGGGAGATGAACCACCCTCAGCTGTATGGAACTTTTTCACTTTGCAGTGCCAGTGTCCATCGAAATTCAGAATGTGACTGGAGAAGAAATACAACTCAGCTGGACTGGTGGCAGCACAGGCAGCCTCTACAGCATCTCCCTCATGGATGGAAAGCAGGAGATAAATAAAACTACCACAAAAGAGACAAAAGCTGTATTTAAATATCTACTTCCTGCCCATGCATACACCATATATGTGGGAGTGTCATCCTGTGCTGAGAATAACCGGACTTCAGTTACTGTCCAAACAGGTACTTCCTCAATCAGCCCATAATCTCTTTTTAATTAAAATACACACACAGTATCATGTTACAGTATCATCTGGATTTGATCTCATAGACTCTTGTTCCTGTAAGTCTTTTTTTTATTTATTTGACTCACAGGACTACTTCAATTCAACAGCCGTTTGCGAGAGCAAGTGCTGGCTCTGTAAAATTTCTGACCATGCTGTGTTGTTGAGCCAGAAAATTCTGTACAAAAGTCGGGATATTTTGGCTGCAAATTTAACAGAAAGTATTTTGGTAATGTGAAGTTCAGGTTGTACGTGCCTTTGTGAATGCAGACAGTCCTTAATCGTCACAGTTGTCTTTTTAATTTCTCCCTTGGATACAGACATTAAGACAGACTGTCTAATTGTGTCTCTGTACTAAAACTGGTTCTCAAGGAACACAACACATCATATCCCTCTAAATCAAGGTTTCTCCTTTTAAAGCTCCCCATTGCCATCTCCTCTTCAGCCAACTCCTTTAGACAAATCTTTTTCCAAATTACCACTTGGCACTGTATAATATTGCCTTTCTATCACTGGAAGAGATCTAAAAGTCAGCCCGTCAAAGGAAGCTACCAGGTTATTTTGGCATGATCCATATTTGATAAAACTGTACTGCACTTTATCATATTTTCCCAGTGGCTGAGAAAATGTTCACAATTTCTTTTAATATCCCTTGAAAGATCTAACTTGACTTTTGGCAATCGTTACTTTCTTCCAGCATTTCTTGACCTCTAACTGTCCTTGTTGCAACCCCTTTTTCAGTTCTCTAGTGGATTGTCTGATTATTCTCAAAACCCTTCTAGGGCAATTATTCTGACAGTTAACTGGGGGGTTCCTTCTAATGGACTTACCCTCTATCTTAGTCTTTAGGACCACAGAGCCAAGGAACTGTCATCATAATTTCCATTGGAATCTTTCAATACTTCAGTCCACTGGCTTTCATTTATTAGTTTCCCTACTAAAAGAAAAAAAAAAATTAAAATTAGTTTCCTGGATCCATCTGCCCTACCAGAAAAGTTCAGTAAAGACCAAGTCATTTGTATTGCATGTGAAGCTAAAGATTATGCTCAATTCTGTGAGGAGAGCTGGAGCTATACCCAACGAGTTAACCACATAAAACCTGTTGTGCCACCCTTAACTGCTGTTTTGACCCACTATAAATAATTCAGATTAGCCAGTCTGGACAGGCATTCTGAGGTTTTGAGACTCTATGATCCATATTGTTTCCAAATTAAATTCCAGATGACTTTTACTGCTGAAAACTCCATCTAGTTTACCTGAGTTGTACAAGCACGTAACAGTACAACCTGTATCTTTAGCTCTCATAAGAAATCAGGGTTCTCAAAGCTATTTCAGTAAAGCTCTCAAATACCACCTGCCCACCCACCACCTGTCTCTCTTTTGATATGCTCTATTTTTATAATTTGCAGTTCTAAGTTCTCACTGGGCCAAAGGAACTGCTGCTTAGGTGATTCCTTGGCCATGATTAAACACTTTCACCTATTCCACAATTTTCTTATTGGCAACAACCACACACGCACAGAAGTGATTATCTTGATTTTTAAACTTATTTCCCAGATCCTGTTTCCTGCTTCAACCAAGCTGAGTTCTGTTTACCAGAAAATACTGGCTGTTCTGACTTAAAAGACGTTGTATGCTCTGGTAAGTTTATAGAACTTTAACATTTGTTTATTTGTAACTACAGGATATTATTTCACAATATAGTATCTTTCCTGAGTATTTTGCCATCTGCTTTATTATGTTAAGTCACACAGAATCTGAAGTTCACACTTCTTTGGTAAAGAAGCTGCTTTCATCAAACTTCAGTGTCAGCTTTCAGCCCTATTTTTATCCTGGTCTTTTCTATGTAAAGCTTTCTTCTTTTGGCTTGGGGCTCATCCACCTACTCAGGAGGATTTAAACACACTCTGTGCCTTCCTTGCAGAATCCAGCAGACTGATGTTACTTCTGCTGAAATCAATGGGAGAGTGGCTGTTGAATTAGGGAGTGGGATGCACCCTGAATAATACAGGAGTGATGAACAAGTTGTGAGGAGTGTGATGGCTGACACACCTGAAGAGATTCAGCTCTGAAGGTTCCAAAGCCAGTGCATTAGACACACACGATACACCTTCTTATTATTTGATTTGTTTCTGTGTTTATCAATTAGTATTATAAACATACGAGGTAATAAAGTCCAAAAAGCAATTGTGGAGGGACATCCTGGGATTCACCTGATTGTTTCTTTTTTTTTTTTTTTCCCCCCAGGTAACCAAGCATTTGCCTGCAGGGTTGTGTTAAAAAACCAGACATTTAACAATGCACTTTATAACTCTGATAGTGAAGAATACAAAGCAATGGCTCAGAGTATCAAAACAGATGTAAGTTGATCAATCTTCTCTGTCAACATGAACGAACTAAGAAAAGGTTTGCTATGAGCAACCTCAGCCTCCTTAATTCATTGTTAAATCAAGACTGTGACAGGTGAAAAAGGTAATCCCTCCCTGATAAAACTGTGCAGGAAGCTCAAGGTTTGTCAAGGATAGACAGCTTGTTGTCCAGTGAGGAGGGGTATGTTCCCTAAGTCATCCTCAAATTAAAAATATTTAGAGAAAGGCGCTTAAAAATTCTATTTTTATAAGGACAAGGAACATCCTGTTCTTTTTATTTTCTCCCACCTTACTAAATCTATGCCTGTGGGATGGAAAAAAAGAATAGTACTCAAAAATAACATTTCAACACACACTTGGAAATATGGGACCTTTACAAGCATCTACTGCGAGTCCAGATCACTGGCAATTTGCTTCATGGTAGTGGCTGCAGGACTGGAGAAGGTATCAAAGGGTCCATATCAGGGGAGAAATGAGGAGAAAAAGTGGCACCTTAGAGCTGGTAAAGCTGACAGGTAGAAGCAGCAGTCTACCTTTAGCAGCATGTTAAAGAAAAAGACTAACAACTTAAACACCTCTCAGGAATCCTGATGTACGTAAGCCTGCTGGGAAGGTAAAACCACTGTAAGATTGGGGTAGACTTCTTTAAATAACTAATACAGAAGATTATTTTTAGTGTGATGATCATACCCTTTAGCTAAGAATCTCCACAGATTTCATAAGTGGTAATTAATTTGTTCTCACCACGCCAACTCAAGGGTAACCTTGTCTTATGACTGCTAGCATCTCCCTTTCATGGATAGAAGATTTAAAAGTGGATTTAAAAGGCTTCCTCCAACATGACTGAATGCAACAGGAATCCCTTTACAGGCTTTTAATAAGCTTTTCCCTTGTGCCACGTGTCAGCTTTTCTTTGAAAAAGGCAAAATCAAAGGGAGGTTGTTCTAACATGACTGGAAACACAGTCAATTTCTGTGTTGATTTTTTTTTTTTTTTTCAGTTTGGGTGTTGAACTATTTATTTTAAATTCCACGGTGCTCCGGAGTTATAGTTTTGAAATTTTACACTTTCACCTGCATAGGTCAAGTTTCCTATCTTGTCTGCTCACCGTGGCGAGGGAAAGAAAAGTATTTTTGGAGTTTCTGGCCAAAGAACTTAATGTAACATGTAGTTTGGGGTGGGGGTTTATCCCACAGAGAAAGATGGAGGTAGACAACTGAGCAGTGACTCAGAAAAAGGCTTGTTACCATCCATGAAAAATAGTAATCTTTCAGACTTTTCTGGTAAAATACCATATTTATCCACAGCGAGAAGATAACTTCTCTTACTGGGTTGAACCAAACAACTGATTTTCTGTAAAGATCAGTCCTGACAGAAACATTTCAACCAGTCTTACTTAACAGAGGAGACTGCTTGTTCTTGTTCTATATCCAAAATAAAGCACTGGGCAAGGCTGTACTTTCAGAGACATCGGTGCAGTTGATTTGATTTTGCTTGGTGTAATGGGATTACACTTGGTTTATGTCAAAATGACTGAGAGGCAAATCACATCCTTGTCTCTCTTTGCATAGTTATTCTGTAACATCACGATTTTGATAAAAAAATATGTTTTATACCTCTCACATCAAGTTCTGTGCTGGTACCGTGTGCAGGACCATGCTTGGAGTTTAGTTGAACGTGTTAAAAATGTTGGGGGACACTGAAGATAACTTTAGAAATTAGGTGCACTTATTAGGTGCACTTTGTAGGTTCCAAATTTTGTGCAGTCAGGGTCTCACATGGGTTTGTGGAGGAGGACAACCGGTTTCAATGCATTATTCATTGATAACAACCTTAACAGATTGGTGCTTGGGAAGTCAGACTTAGACTTTATACTTTCAATCACAGGCCACGCATTGTTCCAGAATCCTCCTTCAGTAAGTTTTTTATTTGTTATTCCAAGGCCATTATCCTGAAACAAAATGAATATCCTGATATGTGTAGGATGTGTGCACTCCTGCTCTGCCACAGTTGAGTGACACGTGGAATAAATACCCCCTTCAATTTGCACAGGTTGTTAGAGAAATGCGCCTCGAACTGAAGGATGAACGCTTCGACATCGCTGTGCTTGGGTTCAGACCCGGCAGTGTGATTGCTGATTTTATTTCTCTGCTGCCAAAAGAAGAGCCCGTAGATGTGAATCTTATACAGACCCACCTAAGTCAAGTATTAAAGCGCAAGTTTGGGAACGAAACTGAAGTAAATGTACAATGTAAGTGATGTTGAAACAGCTTCTCTGCGATGGTGTGGGGATTAAAGGGTCAGATCTCCTTCTCTTCACAAAAGCTGATAAATTAGCTTCTTTTTTTTAAGAGATTGAAGTACCTCAGATAATCTTTTTAAACATTCACAGAACACATAGTCCAGCTATCATGGATTATGGATCTGTTTTAAAGTGTCACTACACATACCCAGTTCCGGACTTGAAGGATGAGTTCTCTTCACATAGAAGGAGGGTTATGTGAGCTTTTCGTACCCTCCATGCTGGTCCTGAAAGATTGGCTTTTAATGGAGATGGGGATGAGGAGACTTTAAAATGTGTTTTAAATTTCAGCAGGTGTAGTGGCACCTGCAATACTCCTCCCTGGATAGAGATGTGATGGAAGGGTTCACCCCTTTTCTTGGGCAACCCTCAAAAACCTTTAGACCCTGCTTCCCTGCCCGGGGCAGTTGTGGATTTAGCAACACAGAAGTACTGCAGAGATGCAGGGAGGCCGAGAGGGAAAGGACAAATTGTGCAGAAGGACACACGTGCAAAACAGTGTCTGCTGTGCTCATGGGTGTGGTAATGTGCTTATTGCCTTGAGCTTCTATGGCTCAGGGGCTTTTCATGCAACACAGAGGCTCCTCCTGCCACAGTCAAAAACCTTCTCTTTTTAAGTGCTGGCCAGCACTATAACACAGTCTGTGTGCCTTTCCACCATTACTACACACATCTTTACCACACGTGCTTATGTGCTACAGGCCTTCCATTGCCTTTATCTGGCCATCAGGAATCTTTCTGGTTTTGGCCTTTCAGTTCAAAGACTTTGATTTCAGTGGACTGTCTTGTGGAGCAAGACAAGGGTAGGTGTTAGTACAGCTGGCAGACCAGCTCCCCATTCATTTCACAAAGTTGCTTGTAGAAGGAGTGTATAAGGAAAGTATAAGGAGGACTGTGAGGGTTAAATTATGTACAGCTCCATTTCATGGCCCTTTTTCACACCTTGGAGTGACTCCTTGTTGAGGTACAGACTGGAGTTCTCCCAGAAATCCTCAGAGCTGCTGTTTATGGATGTCACCAAGAGATTACAAGAACCCTCAGAGAGAGAAGGGTCCATAAAACTTTCTAGTTAGCAAATCTTTACTACATACAAACCCCATTATTAATATTATTCAGAAGTTTCAAAGCTGCCAAACAGTAAAACACAGCTGTCACATAGGGCTCCAAGCTTTCTTACACCCACTTTTTACTGTTTCTAGCTAACATTTCTAAAATGTGTTTTAAATTTCAGCCCTGTCCATTCAGTCACCAACTGACGACAGTTCTGGCTGGAGAGTAGCAGTGATTGTCCTTGGAGTTTTACTTGGAGTTGCATTAGTGCTGATTCTTCTGGCAATAGTATTTTACATCTATATGAGGAAAAGGTGGGGTAAATACTTGGTTGAACCACAGGACTCATGGGAACTTTTCTCTAAAAGCGCTTATAAGATGCACAATGTTTCATTTTTGGAATAAGGCAGAAAACGAATATGTTTGTCTTAAAATTCTATGTCAATTTTTTATATTAACTTAATTTAATTCTACTTGCTCCTTCCCAATGTCCATCACCAAATTCCTGATCTCCTAACAACCTCCAGTGAATCATCCTTTTAGCAGATATGGAGTGGGGAATTTTCCCCATAGTGGTAGAGTGAGGAGCAGAGAAACCTCTGTTCAACCTGTCCCCCAGAGGTATCACAATGACTCCCAACATCGATTTTCTAGAGAGAGAGGATCCAAACTACACAATACTTTCTTGTATTGTGTAGTTTGGATCTCAGAGTGACTAAGCTTGGTACCTGTGGCAGGTTACCTGAATCCTCAGCTGAGCCCAGAGTTGGGCTTTATGCACTTGGCCAAGGGCGATTCACCTCCCCTGAGGTTTGTATCACCATATGAAGATGCCTCTTTCTCTCCAGTGGCTGCAGAACAAGCCACTGGAGTTTGTTAGGAGTTTGAAGAAAAATGGGATGCATCTGGCTTATATGGACCTGCTGTAAAAGTCTCTGATGGAGCAGCAGATTGATCTGCAGGCTTCTGAATTCAAGGTTTCTTTAACTGTCGGGCTATGAAGAAGCAGTTGCCTTTCTGTGACAAATGTAAATCATGCTAAATACAGGTGTGGTTTAACAGCATAGCCAAAACATGTTACTAGATAGGTTAATCTGAGCCAAAAGATTGTATTAATCTATTTTTGCCTGGCAAATATGGTTGGTTGGTCAAGGGTGTGTCATGTAGTGCAATTTTACCTCAGTCTTGATAATCCCAAGGTAGAGCCCAGTAGGAGCAACCTGAAGGCTCCTGTGACACTGGAGCAGACCTTGTGCTTTAGAGCAATTAAAAGAAATGGCCTTTACCTGTTTTCACCACTGTTAGCTGCAGTCTTGGTGAAGTCACAGTCTGTTTATCCCGTGGTGTAGTTTTTCCTACTTGGAATGTGCTGAACAAATGACAAAGGGCAATGTATTGCTGTACATATTTTCAGTAGGGTTTATGTGTTTCATTTCAAGCCAGTTCTCCCTGTGTCTGTGTATTTTGTCAATATGCCTGTGCTGGGCACTCCTGTTGAGGCACTGAATGTCCTGTGATGTCAAGGTCCTGGCTCACACCTCCTGAACAGTTCAGGGCCTTCGTTTTTGGGGATTATGCTCTGGTTAGCTGGCACAGGTTAGAGAAAGGAGGTGCCTACAAATGTAGCACATTTTGGGACCTCAGCAGGCAAAGGACCTCAGCAGACAAAGGTGGTGGTGCCTGAGCAGTTCTGCTCTCCTCTAGGCACAGCCAATGTTCCTTTTTTTTTATACCTCCTTTTTCTGGGCAACAGTTCAGCTCCTCAGAGAACCCTGAAGAGGACCCTGGTAAGCAGATGGGTGAAGCCCTCTCATGTGCTGCCTCACTGCAGAAAGGCTGATTAGTTCAGGCTGTATCATGACCCTGCTGAGGGAAGTGCCCTCCAGCCTTGCTCCTCTGTCCTTGGCTTGGCAGCAGCGCTGCTGTGTGAGGCCAATGGGCTGTGCTGGCAGAGAAGGCAAGATTGTGTGAGCACTTTAAGGTGTCTTCACACACAAAGTTGTGCTGGTGGTTTATGTTCCTGTCTGGAACGTTATTTTTATTTGCAGGGACCTGTGAAACAGGGTTTTGCATGCTTTGCTCTCCTTTTGCTTCCGTGTAGTGCCAGCTTGGCTGTCCTTCTGATCAGGTCTGGGATATGGGGCCACAGCCCACCTCACTGGTGGAAAGTCAGTGTGATTAGCATTTGTTAAATTTATTGTATGTGGGTTCCAAATATAGCTAGCTCTGAGCAGTCACTCCACAATGTATAGTCTGTCAGTAAATTCAAGGTCTCCAGTGAGCTGTGTTGAAAATACAAAAGAGTGCTCTTGCTTATGTAAATACTGTTTCCTTTCTGTTTTGAGGGATCTACTTTGAATAGCAAATTCTTATTGTCATTAACCTTTCTGGTGTCCTTGTAAATAATGTTAAATAAGAACCATGTACAGCAGAAATCCTGGGATTGTTCATGAAAAATATATTTAATATTTTCTCAAAAATGCTTTACAAATAAAATCTCTTTTTTTTACAATTGTGCCTTCTGAAGGAATCTGTTGTTCTTATTTTTGCATGTAATTTGGAGCCTCTTCTACCTGCAGGAGGAGAGGGTGGTGAGTGCTGTCAACACTTGGTCCAGTATGATTACATAGAGAGATGATGTCTTTAAACAAGATTAAACAAGAGAATCTATATATAATGAATATAGCCCCTTTTTCCCTTTTTCCCAATAAAAATCCCCCTACCACCATACTGTGGTGTCTAGACTCTGAGAACTCTCTGAAAAGAAGAGCAGGAGGAGCCAGATCTCCCCTTTCCACAGGGGATCATTTCCTCACTTCCAAGCAGCATTCAGATGGGCTCCTCATGCATATTCCCTACTCAGAGAGACACAAGTCCAGCAAGTGGGACAGAGAAATAAATGGCTGAGGGTAAGATTCTCAGAAGTCTCTAGGTAGCTGACTCCTGTTGATATCAGTGGGTTTTAAGCAGTTCCCAGATCAGGGTCTCTATGACCGAGGAGAGGCACTTTACCTGTTTCAGACTCACTTTTTTTGCCCTGGAACTGACTGACACTATGACCCAGAAAAACTTGAGCTGCTCTGGCTTCAAGAGAGAGGAAGACCTGCTGCCTGAACAGCAGAGCTACACAAGTCTGGTTTCCTAGGGGTTGGATTCCTGCATGCTCTGTGCCCCATCACTGCTGTAACACACCTTCCCATTGCCGTGGCCTCCCCTGCCCCCAGTCCATGGTCATTCCATGGTGCCAGCTTTTCTCCCACAGTGCCTCCATTCTTGCCTTCTCCATCTCATCCTCTAAATCTGCTTTTGTAAGAAATGGCATAGTCTAAGTAAGAGCTGAGCTTTCTCTTAATACAAGCAGCATGAGAAGTCTCTGATTTCCACCATACTGCAGTGACCTTGAGACCTCTGGGCCTCTCTCCAGAGACATCCGTGTTGTTTCAAGTTTAACTGCTTGGACAAGAATTGCAGAAGTTTTTTGGAAGGTCAGCAGCTGGATAACCAGATGGGCTGGTAGAACCATTGTCAGCTCAGTCACACAGGTCTTGTCACCTTAGAAATAGTTTTTTTCAACAAGGACTTCTGGGGCCAACACCTTCTGGGATGTAGCACCATACTTACCCCTGGGGTGCTACTGTTGTTTCCCATCTGAGAAGCAACCTGGGAGCTCTCCTGCCTCCTGTTTCATTGAACCCTGATGTAAACCCCTCAGCATTCCACTTTGATGTAGGTGATTGGGGTCTCTCACCACTTACAGGGTCAGTCACGTGGGAGGAGAGGAAAATGTTTTCAAACAGAAGAAATTCTGCAGATACACGTGCAGAGGGGAGGAAGGTTCTGGGGCAATTCACCTCTGGGACTGCTGGGATTTTCAGCCCAAGGGAATTCTATACCAAACAGTAAAAATTAGAGGTAAATTGCTTAGGTTCATAAATTTGGAAGATAATAAAATGAGCAGTCAGTGGAGATTTAAGAATGTTAGAAAGCATGTATGGTAGGACAGCATGAAATATGTGCCTGAAAGCAGGACACTGACCAGCACACACCAACCAGAGCTTAATATATCCCCCATTTTTTGTAGAGACAGGAGAAATGTAGCCAGTTAATGATAACACATTTTGCTTATGTGAACCTCTGCAAGATGTGGCCTCTGGAGTCTTTGAGCTGGCATTCAATGGGGACTATCAGGTAATGTTCACCACACATTTTAAGCTTCTACCTTGTTTTGGAACAATTCCAGTATTTGGATGTTCCAACAGCTCCTTATGATTTACTTTGTAGTAAAAAATCTCATTTGTGGATCTCATCCTCCAGTGAGTGGTATCAGTCCCTGCTGCTCAAGCTTTTAGCTAACTTCTAAGTGCTAGTCACTGAACCTGCCAATCCCTTCATGCATGCTGGGATCACCAAGGTCTTAGGGAACATTGTGTTCTGTTCTTTTTGGAACCCATAGCAATGTCCCACATGACTTCCTGGTGGGATTGAGGCCCCAGCCAGCCTCTGTCCTCTGTCATGTCATGTGGTGGCCACAGAACTGATGAGACGAGACTCAAGTCTTCTGCTTATTTTTCAATAATTTCCCTTTGCCACAATTTATTATTCCCATTGCTGTCAATAACCAAAAGCTTTGCTCCAGCCTCATGGGTATGTTTTAGACCTTGTGGTGAAAATGATGGTGCTCTGAAACCAGGACCATGCTCAGTCACTGAACTACAGTCCCATGGGCACAGGCAGTATGGGACTGGATGTAGCCATGCTGTGGAAGAGCAGGTTGTGCAGTTGCCATCTTCTATCCAATTGGGATTATGTAGGCTATGCTAGGAATTTCTCTTAGTGCCCTTGTCATTGTGGACTTGTGATGGAGAGCAGGAACAACGCCTTGAAAGGGAGGAGAAAGCAACAGGACATGCTCTCAGACTTAATAAGACAGGCCTGGGAAACACTGGGAATGTCTTGTCTCCCCTGCTGTCCCCAGCCTGTGAGCCAAGTGCCAGAGGAACAGAAGGAACTGGTTGGTGAACACAGGGAAGCCACAGTGCCAGAAGTTCCCTCTGCAGAGAGCTGGCTCTACCCTGTGCTGACACTGGAATGAGAAACTAAAGGTTCTAAAGACACTCAAGTCAGACAAATTAGGAACAAGAGGGGTCAGAGCCACAGACTATCTAAGCCAATAGCATATTGTGCCTTACCCAAGCTTAGCTGCTTGCTTTCCTCTTCTAAAACAGCAAGAAAATGCTGTAGGACTTCAGCACATGCTAAATATTTGTTGGTCTATAGAGCAAGGAGTGCATGTGTGCACTCAGCACGGCCTGGAAAAATGAACTGTGGGATTTGGGTCTGCACAGGACCTTGGCAGCTGGTGCCTGGAAACGTGCATGAGCTGCTGAAACATCAGCCAGCAGCTCCTCAGGGCCACATTACCTGCACAGGATTATTGCCTGGCTTTACTAGGGACCATGGTTAGTCCTTATGACTAACTCTGTAATAAAAAAGCTGCTGACATCTGCTTTCAAGTGTAATAGTGTGGAAATAATCTAGGAACAGAAACATTACTGTTAGTAATCCAAGCAGACCTGTGTCATTTTAGTCACTGTTATGAGAGCTGGGCTGTCCCAGGGCATTGCATTCTGGGAATCCAAATCAATAACCTGTTTAGCTACCATTAAATGGATCGAGCTGGTGTATCCATCTGCTGGAAACACAGTTTTCCCTTTCTGTGCAGATCCAGACAGTGCTGCTGCTGAAAAGAGTTACCTTAAACATTTTTGCTGTATAAACACTGCCAATTGTTTCCAGTGTCAATGGGTTCTTTTAAGGACTCGGTTTCCAAATATCCAAGAAATTTAGGGCTGTGCTTAATTTTTGATGAGAAAGCTTGCAGTGAAAAGCTGGCATTTGTCCAGTTCACGTCCACTCTGCTGTCCCATGGCCCCAGTTAAAAGTTTGCCCTGGGGAAGTGAAGCTGTTTTGTGCTGCAGGTCACATCTCTCTTCAGTTGCTGCGAGGGACACTTGATCTTTGCATGGTGGAATATATGTGAAACGGGGAGGCTGAATGAATAAAACACTACATCTGAGCTTCCAAAAATCTTCCAAAAAGCTTCCAAAAACCTTGATCAGACATTCACGAAGGATTAGGATCAAGAAAGTGCTGCGCTGCTCAGCAGGAACCACCAGATAGCGCTCCCTGCACCTGTATCAGCTGCTCCAAGACCTGTTTGCACCAAAACCTTCAATAATTCCTGAATTTTTGGCTCAGTCTGTAGCACAGGGCAGCCTGGAAACTCGCTTCCCGTTCCCTGAAGTGGTTAAGTGCGCTTCGGTTCTCTCTTAAAGCCGTGTCTTCTTCTCCAGCACGTGAGCTGGGAGATGACCAAGTTTCATGACTCTGGAGGGGGGACATGGAACAAAGAGAGCCTGGACAGACAACGGGAGCTTCTGCTGCCCTCGGATCACCCTGGCTGTGTCCTGGCAGCAGCCTCTGTGGCCGTGCTGTCACAGGCATGAAGAGCCACGCAGCTCCCTGGTTACACACGCAGTTAAGCTCATGCGGGAATTACAGCCAAAAAAGGAAGGGATAAAGGTGTCTGTGGGATCTGAGTGTGACCCTACCTGTCTCTCAAGCGCCTAAACACCAGCTTAAAGCACAGCCCTGAACCCCGAGGAAACACTGGAAGAAAATGTTTTTGTTTTTCCTCCACAAAATTCCTCTTCCACTTGGTTTTGTATGTCCCGGGTTGGCGCAAGGTGAAGCGAGAACATCACAACGCAGGGAACCGGGAGCAGTCACCTGACTCTCCCCTCAGGCAAGGGATTAACGTGTTTGTTGGACTTTGCCAAAACCACTTTGTTATCGCCGTGGTCTGGTGTTGACAGCAGCTCCTAAACTTCTATTCATCTCGTCGCAACAATAAACACACCATTCAACTGATTAAAAGGCGAATTGTCTATCAAGCAAATTAAAAATCCTAATTTGATTTGCCTTCTCATAATCAGAAAGTTTAAGCAGAGCAAAGACTCTTTATTTTTTTCAGTTGTTTCTTGTGGAAATTTTTCACACTGAATTCACCGAATCAGCAACTTAAGTAAATTATTATTAAAAGGAAAAGATAAAATTTCACAAGCATGGCCAAATTATCTGTGTAAAGAACCACCCAATGAATCACAAATGTAATTAAATATTAGCTTTCAGCTAATTAAAAAATGTGATAGTCCAACTGTCATTTTCCCTGTCTATCACTAAGGTCATTTCACATGTCTAATCATTCCTCTTGTCTGAGGAAAGGGATAGCTGCAGAGTGCCAGCTATCAGTGAGCTTGAGCATCACATACAAGAGCCT